CCGGACATGTCCGGCTTTTTTGGGATTTCCCCCCGGACGGGGATTTGGAACCCAAAATCCGGACGTATGGTAACCCTACCAAAAACATTATCATTGGTGGGGGGGGAAGAGAGAGAGCTCAGTGGTTTGAGCATTGGCCTGCTAAACCCAGGGTTGTGAGTTCAGTCTTTGAGGGGGCCACTTAGGGATCTGGGGCAAAATCAGTACTTGGTCCTGCTAGTGAAGGCAGGGGGCTGGACTCAATGATCTTGCAAGGTCCCTTCCAGTTCTAGGAGATAGGATATCTCCATTAATTTTATTATCAGTTCACGGTCCTTCCCTTCGGCCTGTTGACAGCCCAATGAGTGTTCACCAAGTGCGTTGTGTAAAGCCTCCGCTCAATCCAGTAGAATGTGATTGCAAGATTTGTAACTTTTCAGTCATTGCTAGTATGATCATTTAAGTTCTGTAACCTTTTGCAAACTTTAAACTTTGTAACTTTTGCAAGCTTTGTAACCTTGTCAGTTACCACTTGTATAATCTCCAAGTTTTGCAATATTCTGTCACGTGATCAGGGAGAGTGTGAACAAGGGAGTGTGTAAAAAGAACTGGAGTACTTGTGGCTTATGCTCTAATAAATTTGTTAGTCTCTAAGGTGCCACAAGTACTCCTGTTCTTTTTGCAGATACAGACTAACACGGCTGCTACTCTGAAAAGGGAGTGTGTGTGGGCGATAAGGGAGTGTGAACAGTTAAGTGTATGTGGGACTGGGTGGAACGGAATTGAAAGGAGAAAAGAGCCCGGAGACAGATGTGTCTGATGTAATGTGCCCTGAGAAGGCAATCAAGGGGTGCTGTAAAGAAAAGAAGAACCTGGTATGCGTGAAAAGAACGAGGTCTGGGAATGCTGTGACGAACACAGAAGGAAAACTCAGTGTACGTGACATGAGCCGCCCAGTTCCAATAAAAGGAAGAAAGCACGCTCACAGCTCTCTCTTCTTCTTGGCCTGCTTGCTGCTCGGTGACCGCAGGCGGACACACCAGATCTATTATGCTTTGGCTTCCTCTGCAGTCTCCAGTAACTCTCCGCCTGTGTGAGTGTGGGGGTGCATGAGGGTATGAATGCATTGAATGTGTGTGTGCATGAATGAGCTCCATCCCTTTTCTGTTTCATCCAATAGTGGCATTTAATAAAACCAATATAAGTGTAACCCTGGGTTGGTTTCTAGTGAAATCGAGGTAACAAAGTGCATGTCAGTGGTAGCAGCCTTCCTCCGAAGGAGGCAGGTGTAGGTATACCCCTACCTTGACGACTGGCTACTCAGGGGGCACACCAGAGAGCAGGTGGAGTTGCAGGCCAGTCTGGTCACATCCACGTTCGAGAGACTCGGTCTCCTCCTCAACATGAACAAGTCAACCTTGTCACCGACCCAGAGAATAGAATTTATTTGGGGCAGTGGTTGGACTTGGTCCACGCAAAAGCCCGTCTGCTGGAGTCCCGATTCCAAGCCATGTCATGCATCATTCGATGTGTGAGAGAGTACCCGACCACGACAGCGAGGAATTGCCTCAGCCTCCTGCATGTACGTGGTCCGGCAAACCAGGCTGAGGCTCAGACCTCTACAGACATGGCTCGCCTCGACATACCTCCCGGGGCGTGACAGCCTGGACTTAGTGGTCACGGTGCCACAGCAGTGCTCAGATAGTCTTCAAGGGAACCCCCTTCAGCAGCCCTACTCTCCTTGTCTCTAGTTATGGACACATCAGCTCTAGGCTGGGGCGCACATCTGGGAGATCTCCAAACACAGGGCCTCTGGACACAGGATGCGCTCTCTCTCCATATCAATATCAAGGAACTCAGAGCTGTGCGACTTGCATGCCAGGATTTTCAGTCTCAACTGCAAGGCCAGTACATGGCAATCATGATGGACAACACCACTGCAATGTTTTACGTCAACAAGCAGGGTGGAACCGGTCCTCGCCCCTCTGCCAGGAGGCCCTCAGGCTCTGGGAATTCTGTATAGCCCACTCCATTCACCTGGAAGCATCCTATCTGCCAGGAGCCCAGAACGTATTGGTGGATGGCCTCAGCAGATCCTTCCACAACCACGAGTGGTCCATGCGGCCAGACGTCATTCACTCCATTTTCCAGAGGTGGGGGTTTCCCCAGGTCAACCTCCTTCGCCCTCGGAGTAACAGGAAGTGCCCAGCATTTCGCTCCTTCCAGAAAATCAGCCCGGGTTCAATCGCAGACACATTCCTGCTACCCTGGGGAGGCCGTCTCCTCTGCGCCTTTCCCCCAAGCCCTCTCGTGCACGAGTTCCTGCTCAAGGTCCGCAGAGATGGTGTGACATTCCCCTCTGGTGTTATCTGGACTGGTGATCTACTAGGTCAGTGGTCCCCAACCTTTTTCATCTGGTGGGTGCCAGACGACGAGCCATGGAGGACCGTGGTGGCGGACAAGCATCTGCCAAAATGGCACCAACAAGCGGCGTCATCCAGAGGTGTTGCCGCAGAAATTCAGCGGCATTTCGGCGGATGCTCGTCCGCCGGCCAGTACGCGGGCGCACTTAGACGCCCTGTCGGGCGCCGTGTTGAAACCCCTGTGCTAGGTCACTCCAATCCTTCACTCAGAGAGCCAGCCTTACCCTGCTCTGCTGTGAGAACCCCCGGGGCTCCACAGCCGACCTGACTGGTGCTGCTAGGGGAAACTTTCTGATGACTGTGCACGCAGTGCGCATGCATCTGATTGGAATGGACATGAGCAACACATCTCGAAGAACAACAATTACGAGAAGTTTCAGAGTAGCAGCCGTGTTAGTCTGTATCCGCAAAAAGAACAGGAGTACTTGTGGCACCTTAGAGACTAACAAATTTATTAGAGCATAAGCTTTCGTGGACTACAGCCCACTTCTTCGGATGCATACAGAGTGGAATTACGAGAAGGTGATTAACCATTCTTTAGCCTCCTTGTTGAGAGGTGGGGAAATCCATCTCCCACTGGGTCCTGGCTTGCTAGGTCCTGGTGATTGGATCTGCCATTGTGTTCTCAGATGCTCCATTGATATGGAGACTAAGGCCCAGGCAGATAGGAACACCCATCCTTCTGTCTCTTTGACTGTCCTGAGAACAAACACTCCTTTTCCACCCACAGGGTAACACTGCCGCATATGGTCAAACAGGACTACAAAAATATTACAGAATGTTCCCACTTTGTCACAGCCAGGCATTCAGGGAGTGGGGTGTATGGGGCATGTTACTGCAGGCTCTGGGGGTTAGGGGGGCCAGGCATTCAGGGAGTGGGGTGTATGGGGCCTGTTACTGCAGGCTCTGGGGGTTGGGGGTACCAGGCGCTCAGGGAGTGGGGTGTACATATTGTGTAACTGGGAGCAGGGGATGCCAGGTGCTCAGGGAGTGGGGCGTGTTACTGGGGGTGGGGGGGCGCCAGGTGCTCAGGGAGTGGGGCGTGTTACTGGGGGTGTGAGGGGGAGTACCAGGCGCTCAGGGAGTGGGGCGTTATTGGGGGTGGGGGAGCGCCAGGTGCTCAGGGAGTGGGGCGTGTTACTGGGGGTGTGTGGGGGGGTACCAGGCGCTCAGGGAGTGGGGCATGTTATTGGGGGTGGGGGGTACCAGGTGCTCAGGGAGTGGGGTGTGTTACTGTGTGTGTGTGTGTGGGGGGATACATAGTGTGTAACTGGGAGCGGGGGACACCAGGCGCTCAGGGACTGCTGCGGGCGCTGTGCTGGCTCCAATGGGTGCTGTAGGACTGATACCTAGGGGCCTGCCCTGCTGAGCTGTCTCGGTTCCCCCTCAGGCCTCGTACCTGGACGAAGACGAGGTTTACAGCATGGCTGCCACACTGAAGCGCATTTCCATCCTCCACAAGTGAGTGCCAGACTGTGTCCACCACCCCCCGCCCCCAGCTCCGTCTGGGCAGCGGAGCCCGGTCACACAGCACTGCCCTGCCCTGCCCATCTCATCTCATCTCATCTCATCTCCCTGCTGTCTGTTCACATGGGTCCCTTCATCCTTGCCCTGCGGTGGTGGTGGGAGGGGAGTGGGGGGCTAGGACACCCCCGTGAGCGAGGCGCGCTCTCTCTCTCTCTCTCTCTCTCTCTGCAGTGCTCACGACCTGACCCCATGGCAGCTCTATGAGCCCTGCAGCCGCCTCCTCCAGCAAGCTGTGGACACAGGCGAGGTCCCCAAGCAGGTACTGGGGGGTCTCTCGGGGAGCCGGGAGCTTGGCCGCCTCCCCACAGCAGGGAACTCAGGTGGGGCCTTGCCCTGCCAGGCAGCGTGGGGGATTGTGGGGAGAGGATGCAATGGGGCAGCTTGGAACTGGGGGGACTGCAGCCCCACATTCTTACTCTGGGCTTCCATTGCAGGTGGTCATCCCCACCATGACCTGTCTCCACTTCGGCATCCTCTGGGAGCTGGCTCGTGTCTCTGGCACCGTCTCTGTGCAGGTGAGGCCGATGGGGAGGTCCCTGCCAAGAAGGGCGGGGTGGGGGTCAGCCCTGGCCCTGCCTCTGCCTCTGAGTCCTGGGGGCTGGGGGTTCCTGCCCCTGCCCCTCACAGCCGCCTCTGCTCCTACCCCAGAAAGAGCTGCTGGCCCTGAAGCGCAAAGTCGCCTCCTTCTGCTCCCTCTGCCAGAGCTGCCTGAGCGATGTGGACTCCAGGGTCCAAGAGCAGGTGAGAGGTGGACAAGGGCTGGGAGCCGAGGGCTGGACAGGCCGCAGCTCAGCCGTGCTGGGGAAGGGGGTCTGGGAGCCCCCCAGCAGTGCTGTTTGTGGGGTGCTCATACTGCCTCTGTCTGTCCAGGCCTTTGTGCTGCTGAGTGACCTGCTGCTGGTTTTCAGCCCGCAGCTGGCTCAAGGTGAGCGGGAGGTGCTGGAGCTGCTGGTGTACCGGCCCGAGGTCGCCCTGCAGTCCCAGCTGGCCGGATTCCTCATGGATCATGTCTTCAACCATGCCGAGCTCGTGGACAGTGGTGTGTACTCGCCCCATGGGGCTGGGGGAAGGGGGCTGAGTAGAGGGGGGGCACAGAGAAATGGGGAGAGGGATCTGTGGGCCAAAAGCCTCACTCCCCACCCCATCCTCTGCAGATGAGGAGGACAGCGAGGGGAAGATCGAGAGGCTACACCAACGGCGCAACCTGCTGGCCGGTTTCTGCAAACTCATCATCTACAACGTGCTGGAGCTGAGCGCCGCCTCCGACGTCTTCAAGCACTACGCCAAGGTGGGGGAGATACGGGAGGGGCCCCACGGCGCAGGGGCGCACCTACCATACCAAGGGGTGGGCACTGCCTCCAGTGTCTGAACACCTAGAGCTCGGGGTGTGGATCAGGGCAATGGACTGCGCCCGGCTCCCTGCTGCAGGCGTTGTGACCCACCCGGCACATGGGGCCGCAGCACTGCTCAGGTTTGGCCTGGCCTGTGACTGACCCCTTGTGCCAGGTTGCAACGCCCAGAGTGGGAAACTGGGCCCAGCCCTGCGGTCAGGCGCCGCCACTGCTGCAGGTGAGTTTTTATTAAAATCCTGGCCCCAAAGGAAAGTCACAGCAGCCGTGACAAGCCTGCAGCCCTACTTACCACCGGCGGGGCTGGGCGGTTGGGGGGCCCCACTACCCTGCTCTCCCTTCCAGTTCTACAAGGACTACGGGGACATCATCAAGGAGACGCTGAGCCGGGCGCGGCAGATTGACCGGGATGAGTGGGCCCGCACCCTTCTCCTCAGCCTGCAGCAGGTACCGGGGAGGGGCCCGTGCCCAGTGCTGCCTGGGGGAGAGGGGAGTCCCTGTCACTGATCCGTATCCGTGTGGATGGGGTGGGGGGGCTGGGGAGGCGTGAAATATTGGAACGGCCTTCCGAGGGAAAGGGTGGGGGCGAGGGACCTGTCTGGTTTTAAGATTAAGTTAGATA